CTCTCTCTCTCACACACACACACACATTCGGCTCTCTCTCTCTCTCTCTCTCTCTCTCTCTCACACACACACACACACACACGCACACACACACACACACACACACACACACACACGTGCAGAAACATGCGGCATGAACACGCACACAAAGACACACATGCAAAGAGGATGAGTACGTTGTGGCAAGCGCACAACAACTTACCTTGCCAGCCTTACAATGGCACACTGCAACATTCTTTGGGTCCGCTTCAAGCCACGCATGCTACAGCATCACAGAAGACACAACAAGCAGACAACACACAAATGCACTTGGCTGATAAGAAACCGTGATTGATATCAGCATTAAAATACAACAGACTGATTGCCCCCCGGGCATGAAATTGCCTTGGCTGCACGGCCAGGCAAGCCAAGTAGCCAAGGCCCTGAACCATTTTTGATATTCTCTTATGCAACACCACCTAATCTACATCCCTGATTCTTTCCATTTTTTCATAGCTGAAACCTAGCATTCGGAATTTAGTGCACCCACCAGGTACCCCTCTTGGGCCCGGCACGCACCAGGTCTCCCGATTAGTGGGTAGGATAGAACGGACTAGGGTACTGTACATTAGTAGGACAGAGATGAGCCCTCTACACCCGTCCAAGGGGGGATCGGCCAGGGATCTGTTGGTCAATGGGTGAGGGACAAAGCTACATAGGGTAGGCTTGGAATACACCCAGTTGAGATAGGGCTGCAGGGGCAGAACCCGATCTCGTAGTGGCAAGCTGATACGTGTGGAAGGGATACGACTTGCGACAGGACTTAGGGCTGTAAGCCTTTACGGGTTTCCATCTAGGACAGGTCCAGAGGACCTTGTGTGGTCACTCCGAGCTTCCTGTAGCTGAATTCCGGAGAGTTGTCCTGCGCCTGATACCCTGCCTCGTTTGGGAAAAAAAAAAAAAAAAAAAAACCTGCGCCTTTGGCAGGGGAGGATGGGTCGTCGCATTGACAGTAGAAGGGTGGTAGACACCCATAGAGTCTGCTAGATATGATACAGATGGGGGAATGACCACATATCCGTGCCCCCTCCTGTGTCCGGGTCGTCCTCGAGAACTTGGGATGTCCCTATGGTAGCGCCCCGGGGGCCACTCATCTGATGACACCCTTGGAAGGCGCGGGTTAGTGAAGGTCTAGAACTAGAGACAGGCCTGGGTCGCACCCCTGGAGGAGACTGTCCTTCACAAGCCATCTGATCTCCCAGCTGGTTAAGTGCAACAACAGGCACCTCGCAATGCCTAGCATCCAGCGTCTACTACGATCTGAAGTTTCTTTCATAAAACATTAAAAAAAGATAAAAAATACTGCGCCGCCATGGCACACTCTGATGCTTACGTTTCTATCATACCTTGTGTTCTCTTTATGCTTGCCACAGAGAGAGAGAGAGAGAGAGAGAGAGAGCAGTTTTATAGCGGCCGTCACCAGTTCGATTCCGCGTGGCTGTGGAACGATCAGGTCGTTCCGGGCTACAACGACAAACTTATGCTACAATGACAACCTTCTGCTACCACGACAAACTTACGCTACCACGACAAACTTACCGACAGTGTACGAGCGCAGTAACCATCCAGGAGAGGTTACCAGCATTTGAACCCTGCACCTATCTGTGTGGACGCTGGCAACAGCGGAGGGTCTTGGGTTCTGTGTGGATGCTGATGCCTGCCGAGTATCTCATGGACGTCTCACGTTGACGCGTAAGTCCTTGCTACATCTGTGCGGCGGTGGGCAGAATGTCACAACCAGTATGGCTTCAGTTTCGAACACCGGGTCACACTGGCCGTGATAGACGAGGTCACTGGTTCGGGGCGGGCAGAATGTCACAACCGGTATGGCTTCAGTTTCGAACACCGGGTCACACCGGCCGTGATAGCCGAGGTCACCGGTTCGGGGCGGGCAGGCAGAATGTCACAACCGGTATGGCTTCAGTTTCGAACACCGGGCTGTGATAGCCAGGGGTTGCCGGTTCGGGGCAGGAAGAATGTCACGACCGGTGTGGCTTCAGTTTCGAACACCGGGTCACACCAGGCTGTGATAGCCGAGGCACCGTTTCGATTCCATCTGGATACGGAACGATCAGGGCTACAATGACAAACTTACCCATAATGGTGCCCTCCCAGGATATAAAGGGGGTTGTATTACGTCAAAAGAAAAACAAAAAAAAAACAAAACTGGGAATTATAGCTCATTCGATCAGCTATCATTTATCTGGTGGTCTAAAATAAAATGACAGGAAAAAAAAAGAAAGAAACTGTAGGTGTCTGATGTATAATATAAAGCTAGTACTGATCCACAAAGCTACCTACCTCCTTCAGGGCACTCGATTCGGGTGAAGACGCTAGGTGTTGATATCAGCCAACTTCCTTTAGGCGGGGGGTTTGAAGCCAGCATTTAGGTCCCCCACCTTTAGGCCACACAACCCCCTTTACGTTCTCCTTTAGCCTCCCTCCTCCTCCAGTAAGGNCCCCCCCCCCCCCCCCCCCCCCGGGCCCCCTCCGGGTAGGTCAACCGGTAGGTGAACCAGTCAATGGACCCTTTCACCCTTGAGACATCATTATCGAGCTGACCGGCCCTAAGTAGTTCAGAATTGGGGTTCAAAATCATGTCTTGTATTTTTTATTTTTTATTTTTTTTTAAGGTCAGCCCCCGTATTTCAGTCACCCGAACTCAGTTGGTACACCCCCCCGAACTCGGTACACCCCCCCAAACTCAGTTGGTACACCCCCCCGAACTCAGTTGGTACACCCCCCCGAACTCAGTTGGTACACCCCCGAGCTGACCGTCGCTAGGCAGTTCAGAATTGGGGTTCGAACTCAGTTGGTACACCCCCAAACTGTTGAAACAACAGGCATCAGAATTGGGGTTCGAACTCAGTTGGTACACCCCCGAACCGTTGAAATAACAGGCCCAAGATCTCAGCGGGGTTCGAACTCAGGGCATACTCACACTACTACGTTTTTGCGCATTTTTGGACGGAACCATGGCCAGATACATCCAGGTATGGCGTGAATGGGGTCAGATACATTTGAGATACTGCTAGTGTGAGTACGCCCTCAGTGGGTACACCCCCGAACCTAAATGTCCATCTACTACCAGCTGGCCTAGCTCAGTTGGTACACCCCCGAGCTGACCGTCCCTAGGCAATTCAGAATTGGGGTTCAAAATCAGTTGGTACACCACCGAACTGTTGAAATAACAGGCCTCAGAATTGGGGTTCGAACTGCATTCGCGTGCTTCCCCAAGTGCACAAGGCCAATTTGGCATGTGGTTTACCCGCTTGATCGCAAAATCCAGATCTCCTCAGGTTTTTTATTACATCAGAGATAGGTGCTTCCGTTGTAATATTGGTTTTTCCAAGACTGACAAGTGTAACTCAGTTGGTACACCCTCGAACTGTTGAAATAACAGGCCCAAGATCTCAGCGAGGTTCAAACTCAGTCGGTACACCCCCGAACCTAAACGTCCATCTACCACCAGCTGGCCTGGCTCAGTTGGTACACCCCCGAGCTGACCGTCCCTAGGCAATTCAGAATTGCGGTTGCAACTCATGTCTTGTACTTTTTTTGTTTTTAAGGCCAGCCCCCGTATTTCAGTCACCTGCTCTCAGTGGGGTTCGAACTTGGGTCTGTATTTGAACAGTTCATAGGTGGGGTGTCCCAACTGAGCTAAGCCAGTTGGTAGTAGATGGACCTTCAGGTGCTTGTCACTGCTGTCTGCTCCAAGTTGCCCTCGATACAGGTATGGTGATGGACCTGAGTGCTGGTGCCACTGCCGCTGGATAGTAGTAGGTTTAGCGGGTGCGCTGGGAGTATTAACGTGGGAAGGGTAGGGAAGGTGGGCCATCCTGTCAGGACAACCATGGGCTGCCGCTGCCAGCGATCACTGTGGGTCTAGTCCTTGGCCTCTACACCACACCTGGGCTTTCAAGTTTCAACAAAAAAAACAAAAAAACAAAGGCTACCAGAGTGGCCCGGGGCAAGTTGTCCGGCCGGGATAAAAAAAAATAAAAACAATAAAAATATATTTTATGGTATTTGTTATTTCAAATGTGGTAAAGAATTTTGATGTAACCCTGAGTCAAAAGTTGTTCAGTTTATTTTTGGGCATCACATAGTTTTCTTTCACATTTTTTGGATTTTTTTTTTTTTTTTTTTTTGGCAAGGCCCTTCACTGGCCCTCGCACGGCCGGGCCGCCCGGTCAAATAAGGTGACCCGGGCCGCCCGGCTGGTAGCCCCGAAAAAAAAGTCGAAAAAAGAAAAAAAAAGTTTAAAAAAAAAAAGCAAAAAAAAAGGTCAAACTCTGGGCAGATCCTCTTGTCAACCTTTGGCCTCCTTCACTCAAGGTGGGCAAACCTTTATGCTGATCCTCTTTTTTTCTTTTTTTTTTGCCTTAAAAAAACACACACTCGCGCCGGTGCCCCTCCTCCACTCGGGAAGTCACCCGAGATATCGACGTCTGGTTGCTAATTTTAAAAATTAAGATTACAATTTTATTTATTTAGAAAATACTAAAATAGTCTGTCGGTCGATTTTGGTCCCTGATAATTTAGTGTTGATGCATACCGCCTTCATTCCCGGAAGCCAAGCATCTGACCAGGTCACAAGTGACAACGACAAAAATCTTCATTCAACTTCATCGCGCCAACAAAAATATATCTCAAATTTAACGAAAACTTCAAAAAGTCACAGATGCTACCGATGCCACTCTATCGTTCACGTCTTTCCCACCAGATTACCTCATGTGGCCTACGTGCTCGCGTTGGACTAACGCTTGTCATACCCTCCGGTGCGTTCATCTTTTTCCACCTTGCATTCACACGTGCGTCCAGTGCTGTGTAGCAAAACCGAGTCGACATGTCGAAGGGGACGACACTTGTGAATGCAAGATGGAAAAACGCGAACGCGCCCGAGGGTATAACAATCATAAGAGTCCATCCGGGCCTCAAAAGAATCCCATTTCCTCCGTTCCATCGGGGGCGTAGTTCCTGGAAAGGTGTCAGG